CCTGTGCGTCCAGCCGCCCGTGTGTCTGTCTTGGAGCGCCGGGCCTCCGGGTCTTGATGAGCCGCCCTCGAGCTCCCTGCGTGTCGGGCGAGCCCCGCGTCGCGCGGCCGTGTCGGGGGCTCCGGGGGGGCCCGAGGGGCAGTTTTCAGCCCATGGCTGCACGAGCAATGGGGCAGGTAGGGGAACGTGGCCACAGCCCGCGGCTGGTTTCCCTTGTTGCATCGTAATGTAAGGCTGAAGCTACTGTAAATAGCCGTGATGTTTGATTTGTTCTCAGCATGTAAAAGAGCCTCCCTTACTGTTGTTGCTCTGCATCATGCGTGTGCGTTTGCACTTAGTTTCTACTTTCCGGCCTGTGTAGCCAGTGCCTTTGGTGATGACGCAAGGAGCCGTTAACCCATTTGCCCCTGGTTTCCCCAGCACCTTCCGTACGTAGCGGCGCACACGAGGTGGTGTCGGCCTCTCCCCTTAGCTCTAGCAAGGGACCCTGAGCTGCTCGCACAGGCTAGAAAGCACAAACCATGAGAAACTGTAAGAGCGTCCCACTGCTTATCCTCTTCGGAGATAATTCCGGAGTCAAGATATATGTGTCCTTGGTATAAACTCTAGGAGGGAGGCACAAAACCTCCCTGAGTTTACAGTTACCGTGGTGCACTTGGGAAGAAGAAAATACAAATGGAGGAAGTGACTGCGGCCACCTCAGCCCGTGGCAGAAGCGGAGCAGAACAGCGGGTCAGGGAATGGGAAGGCCCAGCCCTGCGGCACTGCGTGCTCCTTCCCTGCTAGCCTTGCTGGGGCGGAGGATTAGCCTTCCAGGAGTTTTGAAACTGAGGTGCGCCCCTCTGAAAGGCATTGCTAGTGGACATCTGGGCATGCAGTAATATAAATCAGCAACGTGCTGTCATCCCTGTGAAGCATCTAGGAACACAGTAAGGATTTGCCTCGGGCAGCTATTGAACAAAATGTACCAGCTTGAAATAAAAGCATCTATTCCTTTAACATTCCTCTCAGGGCATAGTGCTGGCTTCAAAGAGCAGTCCTAGATTTTCAGTTATTGGAATTAAGTGTATGAAGTAAGGGGCGGCCTGGCATGCTCATCATTCAGTGGTGCGTTTTGGGATATCGTGACAGAAGAAAAAGGCTTCAGTGCACATTTCTGCAAAGCAGACATGGAGAGTAACTTAACAACAGATGCGAGCTGGGCAGCTGCTCTTAGCATCTGGATTATGTAGGTGTGGGCTAACAGAGCTGTGTAAAGCCTTGGAAGGGAGGCGGGATTCTCCAAACACAGGACACTGTGGATGAGATGTGCCTTCACAGGTGTCTCTATGCCTCCCTTTCCTCACCGCCCTCCCAAAACGTGTTTCTGGATTATCATTGTGTCTCGAGCAGGGTCACGGTTCAGTCTCTCCCGTTGCGGGTAAAGCCTCCGCCACACCGTGGATCCGCTTAGCGCTGCCCGGGCTGAAGGGGATGAGCTTGGGAAGAACGTAGTGCTCAGCAGTAGTTGGGAAGTGTGTGTTTTTCTGAATGACACCGAAGCAGGGTGACGTTGTGGGGAGGGGAGGCTGCGTAGGGACCCTTCTAAAGGAAGTTAGAAATGTGACAGAAATCGAACGCACTTTTTCTTCCAAACATTATGGGATTTGCTTTTTCTTTTTGTTATTATTGCTGTTCCTAAAACATCAGCCTGGCATCTCTGGGGCCAGAATCTTTTTCTGATGATGCACGCTGGATGCCTTTTATTAAATAAATGTCCCTTGTTGGCAGTATTACTGCTGTTTATCTCTGTTTTTTGTATGTTAGTGTCACTGGTAATAGTCTCAAATTGTTGTAGTGTGAACAACCCCTTAAAAGTGTAATTTCTTTTCTTGAAAAGTTCGTGATCTGAGCTTGAAAGGAAATCTTGAAGGAGCCCTGAAGTGACAAAAGGAAGATTTTAAAATAATTTTTAAAATATGAAGATATTTTGTTTTAGTTTTCAGAAATGGAGGAGCGTACTGAGAAGGGAGAGAGGAAAGCTCTGCTTTGCTCTCCCTGAAATAATGAGAATTTTCCTGTTGACTTCATCTGGAGCAGAATTAGAGCCTAAGGCCTCAGCCATATAGGAAAACTTTCATCTATATAATTACACTTGAAATTGCTTTATTTATTTATTTATTTTTCTCTACACAGACAGACCAAATGTCTGTGCTTTGTTTTGCTGGGGGCTTGTGTGCTTTTGCTTTTCTCGCTCTCCCTTTTTTTTTTCCCCCTTTGGTAGGGAAAATCTCTAGCGTGTAAGAAGAATTGGATTCTTTGTGCTATGGGTGAGATTAAGAGTCTGTATAGAAGCCACCAGTGCAAAGCTGGCCATTGAAATCTCTGGGCTAGTTTGAATCCTGCTATGCAAAGTTACTGATATGCATGGTGTGCAAAAGTATGGCAACTTTTGTGGGGGTTCTGCATCCCAGCAAAGTCTTGATAAAACTGAAAAATTGCGAAGAATCAAGTTGTAAACTTCTGTCATTTTTTTTCTTCTTCTTTTTTAAAATATATAGTATACGTGCAACCCTGTGTTTTATAATCCCAGTGTCTACCTTGCACAGATGCTATGGGAGTGTCAGAGCAGGTGCACCAGGGGGCATTTATGGGAACAAGGAAGGAGGGAATTTGAGCTCTTTGATAAGTCTGGATGTCGTCATGATTTCTCTTACATACCTTTTTTTTAGGTGCATTTCCATACTTAATGTAACCATTGCATCAGATGATTAACATTCTTGCTTTGCCTTACATCGTTATGTGAACTTTTAAAAAGCAAAGAAAATGAATTTGAGCTCTGTGGCTTTCATAGAATCAGTGATACTGGAAGGGTCCTCTGGAGATCATCTAGTCCAGCACTGCTCCTGACTCCTGCAGAGTCAGCTAGAGCAGGACTGTGTCTAGTTAGGCTTGGAATATCTTCAAGTATGGAACCTCTCTGGGCAGCTTTTTCCAGTGTCAGTCACTCTCACAGTGAGAAAGCTTTTTCTTATGCTTAATGGTTAGACGGAACTGTGTTTTGGTTTGTGCCCACTGCTTCTTGTCCCGTCACTGGGTAGCACTGAGAAGAGCCTGGCTTTGTCTCCTTTACGCCCCTCACCAGGTGTTTATACACCCGGATAAGACCCCCCCTGAGCCCTATCTTCTCCAGGATCAAATCAAGGTAAACAGTCTCCACTGTTCTCCGCTCATCCATCAAGCTGTATATTCCGACAGCTATTTGGTTGGTCAGGCATGATTTACTTGTTATAAATCCATGTTGACTGCTCCCAGTCACTTCATCGTTTTTAATGTGGAAGTGGTTTCCAAGAGGATTTTTTTTTTCACCACCTTCTTGGGGAGTAAGGTGAGATTGGCTGGCCTGTAGTTCCCCACATCCTCCTTGCTGAAGACAGGAGTGATGTTTGTTCCCTTCCCCTCTTCTGGTCCTCCTTCCATCACCACAAGCTTTCAGAGATAATTGAGAGTGGCCTTGCAGTGACATCAACCAGCTCCCTGAGCGCTCGAGAGTGCCGGAAGGGCCTGTATCCCTCCCTTGCAGCACTCTAGTCATGTGAGCTATCGCACCAGCTCTCTGATCTCGAGGAGTTCCCAGGCCCGTAACCGCTCGCACACTTCTAATTTCTCCCGTTCTCCATGCTGCCTGCATTAGCGCACAGGCATTTCAGATAGGCACCCGGTTATGCTGATTTCCAGGAAGGGAGGCAATAGCTTCCAGCCTTAGCCATCGTGCAAGTGTCTGCTTTCCCACCCGGTACACCTCAGACTCTGCCTGCCTCTCCTTCAGAGCGCTCGGGGATTCAGGCTTCCCTTGTATCTGCAGGGTCTTGGAGAATATTCAGCTGACCTGTTTCTTGTCATCTCTGATACTGCACAGTCTGCTGACCTCCTCTCACGGCTCCTTTGCTTGCTGACACATTGCTTAATTTTTGATATTTATTTAGTTAGTTAGTTTTAATTTCTGATGACCTGTGGTGCTGCCAACATAGCCAAAAGCAGGTGTATTTGCAGTGTGAGTCTGCTACTGAGACGAATCAAAAACAAACTTCCATTAATGTGGCTGACATTCGTACTTGGCATTTCTCACTCCTGTTTCCAGTGTTTTCTCTTAGGTTTTCTCTTAGGTTTAGGTCTGTAGGACTGTTAGTACCGAAGTGCCTCGTTACATGCAGCAGCCTGGATTCTCAATGCTCTGCATCATATTGGAATTTGCTTTTGCCTTTTTGGTTTTGATGCCTTTGGCAAATTTGATCAGCAAAGAGTTTGACCTACAGCCTGTAGAAGTACATAAGTATCTCTAATAGGCTTTGTATACACCACAAAGAGACTCATGGGATTAGAGTTCAGTTTTTATTTAGAAACACAGAAGGACATATATTTATGCTAGTTTTCATTTTTTGGTCAGTTTTCATGCAGAGCTTATACCTGTTAAAATATCATGAGGGGAGCTTTTTACACCTACACTTGGTGTATCACTGTGTTGAAAGCAGCCCTGCTGAGCTTGAGCATCCTTGATTTGCAATCAGAGCAATATTCTGTTAATGCAGTGCTGAGGACTCTGTTCAAACAGGTAAGCTAGAAAATAATCGTTGTTACACCACTCTCTTGACTTTCTTTGGCTTTGAACGGGCAGCCAGAGCTGCAATATTAGCTCTGATGTTAACTCATCAGAGTTAACACGATGTTAACTCATGTGTAGCTGATTAAATTTAATCCGAGTTTGCCAGCTGTAATCTGTAAATTACAAACCCCTGCAGGTGAGGATCTAGTGTGTCACCCATCTACTTTCTCCAGCTGTAATGGGGAAAGCTGATATGTCTGGGAGAGGAAAGAGAGGGGTGTAATGTGAGCACATGAGGCATTAGAAAGCAAAATTAGAAATCTGAAGTACAAAGTCAACCAACATACTACAAGGCCATAGTATTGCAAATATTATATGCTTTTATTTCTTTAAATTCCTGTGGATATAGCTGTGAGGTAGAAGACTCTGTTGTTCTAAGACATGTGTTCATCCAAAAAAACCTCACCTCATCTTACTCTATGGATTGAAGTCTAAATCCATTCTCTTCTCACCAGGAAATACATATTTTAGAAAATAAAAATGATTATGTTCTTGTAGAAGTATATTAACACATTTGTGAGTATGAGGCTCATTTCTTAGAATTTTTTTCCTTTTCTCCTTTCCCTCACCTGTTTCGTTTTATCCTAACCCTTTCTATTTATTCTTTTCAGTGAAGTGTGCTACAGAATTACCAACTTCAGTTGTACTGAATCTCTGATCACTCTTCTTAACAGAAAGATTTGGAGATATGTATTAGGATCACTGTTCATAGCAGGGAGCTACTTCTTTCAAATGTCCATGTAATCAGAATAGGACTGCAGTTATGTGTAACATTTAATGTGTTTGCTTTTTTTTTTTTTTTTAAGGGCATCTAGATGACGATGGTTTGCCACATGGATTCTGTACAGTCACCTATTCATCCACAGACAGATTTGAGGGAAACTTCGTGCATGGAGAAAAGAACGGTCGTGGCAAGTTCTTCTTTTTTGATGGAAGGTAGACACTTGCTCCACTTCTCTTTTGTCCATCCTGTTTACAGTGATATAAAACTAATCTGTATTAATTGTCTGAGTGTCTAAATATGCTTTCTCATTAAAAGCTGTAGTTGGAAAGTTTCATCCTGCTACTGTAGCTGTAGTGCTGACACGATGCCTTCTTGGGCTCGAGGGCTTTATATGTAGCACGATGCCGGGAATTGTTCCCTTGTAGGAGAATCCAGCATTGTGCGCGGTTTTAGTGCTGTAAACTTTTCAACTAATTAGAGACTCTGGGAACTGGAATGTCTTCAAAGCCTTTGAAAACCATGGTGACAACCGCTTGGACTGCAAAGTTCAAGTCCACAACTGCATGAGTAGTAGATTTTTGTTTGCTTTATGCCGGTATACACAGGCTGCTATTGGACCCAGAGCTCCTTGTGCCAGAGCCGCGCATGGGCACAAGACCTTCAAGAGAGCCTCACCATCTGCTTGGGCTTGGAAATTGTTTAGCGGTTAAAGGAGTAGTTTAAATATAGTTCTGTTTCCAGCTCCACCTAATGTTCTGCAAGGTGCTTATGGCCTGGTTCGTTTTCAGGAAAGCCCCTGTAAATTGCCACTCTCATCCCTGGGAAATGGGGCTAGTCCATGCCTCTGTGTGCATGAGGTGATTTGTGTATGTTTTCTTCATAAGCATGAACATCTTATAATCTCTTATGAGCACCTTATAATATCTCTTCTCCCCCTGCCAATAACTGCAGCATTTTCTCTCTGCAGTGAGTGACTGAGAAGTTCCTCAGAAGGAGCAGCAGATGTATAAAATGACACGATTCTTCATGGTTTTGCAGCTGTCGGTGCCACTATGAATAGCAGCCGTTAGACTGACAGTTGTGTCAATTCTCCTCTCCTCTCCTCTCGTCCCGCTCAGTGAACTTCTGAGCAGGAGCAGAAGTGCTGGGTACAGGGTTGTCTCACTGTGCCAGCCTCACCAGTACTTGGTGTTGCAGTTGCTTCATGCTGGAGATTGTGAGGTGTTTTTTTTTTTTTTTCTCCCATGTGGAAGATAATATTTTTATTCAGTTATGCATGAACTGATTGGGCCTCTCAAGTTTGGATTAAAAAAAAAAAAATCCCACCTGTTGCTAGTAATGGCCTTATTAAATCTTGCATGAATAACTGAAAGTTGTTACTGCCCAGCAGCTGACCTCTCTAAAATAGCCTCTTTTTTTTTGATTTGGCAGAGAACATCTCTCTGGACACATGTACATAACACTTGTGTGCTTGTTGATGGTCTCAGCGGAGCAATCGCTGATTGTATAGCTAGAGAAACTGACCCCCTATTTCCTTTGTAGAGCTGTTTCTCCAAGTAATCCAGGGCACAGGCAGTGCTGTGTACGAAGCTTATGCTGCTACTGCCTGTGCAGAGCCTTTTCTGTACTTCTGAAGTGTTGCCAAATCTCTTTTTTTCTTCTTTTTTTTTTGATAATTTTCATAACACTTTAAAAATGGAACAGTTGGCTACTGGGTGATTTCAGGAAGTAGAGAAATAAAAATACACAAAAATAGTCTGTAATATGTTTCTGGAAAATGGGATATTTTTATAATCAGGTCCAGGCTGATTTTAATTTGGCAGAAGCAGCTTAACGGTTACCAGGGTCCTTGCGACCTCCCTGGCCGTGCCCAGGTGGAGGGGTTAATCCGCTCTCAGGTGAGCGGGTCAGGTGTCGGGGCCGTTGAAGGAGGATCAACTTGGCCCCCAACAAGACGTGCTGTTTCCATCAGCTGTGCCCTGAGCAAGGCTGAGTGCTTATGAAAGAGCCTTTCGAAGGGAAACGCGTTTCAGAAATTCCTGAAAACTTCTTTCCCCGCAGTGGCTGTACTGCCTCTGTGCTCTCCCTCCCTTCTAGGCCTGCCTGTGCAGACTGACCAGAGAGCAGCTGTATGGCTTCGGTTTGGGAAACGCTGACTCCTGGCAGAGACGGGGCTGGCAACAGTGT